TTTGAAATCACTCGGGAGGGCTTAAATAGCACCTCCGAGTACGATTTTACTAAAAAACTTGGACCAAACAATTTGATTTTGACATGACCTTGCTAACATGAACTTAATTATACGAAAATAGGGTAAAGGAATGTATACCCTTCAGTTTGGCTGACAAACGCACGAAGACTTGCGCGTGTGTTCGGTGCTCGGTTTGGCGTGAGCTTGCTTCTCCTTGCTTCAGCAATCATTAGCTATTATTATATAATTTTTCCTCTATTTTTTCCTTACTGTTTTCTCTCTATTTAGTACGCTGAAATTGCATGAGAATGCATGGGGAGAATGTCCCACATGCTCGTCTATTTGTTGAGGTGAAAACTGTACGGTAATTTGGGTCAAAAGAGGTGAGGGCTGACATTGTTTCCCTTGATTACAAGTGTCCAAAGCACGGCTGAAGTGTTGGGCAAATTTTGCTTTCTCATTGCCGAGGTGGCGGCCATGCACGGCTTAGTCATTACTTGCGCGTCCGTGTCATGCCGTGTGTGCAAGCAAGGAGGTGACTCACCACCCCACTTGCACATCCAACATTTATCCTTTGATTTTCTCCTCACGGTAATTCTTAGGATGGGGTTTGGCTTGATCGTGTTGCTAAGCATTGCCTAAGTTCTTGCTTAGCGGGCTAATGATGCGCGCGATATGCGCTGCGCGCGACGATGCGCGCTGCGCACGGCTACGCGTACGGCTGCGCACGTTGTGCATGTATGCATGCGTGCATAGTGCACTTTGAGTGCGTTCACAACTTATCCTTAGTTTCGACTATGAACTTAGTTCCGAACATTCTTAACTTTTAATAATTAATCCCGATTAATAATATCCGTTTATAAAATAAACGGTTCAGAAATTAATTATCGAATTTGACTCGGTTAATAATTAACCGAATAAACTTTTCGACTTAAAGTCGAACTTATTTGCTGAAAATGGACGGAATCAATAAAAGAAAATACATCACTTTATTAACAAAAGTTGGGTTATTACAATCTACCCCCTTAAAATATTTCCGTCTCCGGAAATATACAACTGAACATATATACACGATACAAGAAAAGTATATATATCAAAACTGGAAATCGGGAAAACGAGCGCGGATATCTGCCTCCTGCTCCCAAGTAGCTCCGTGGCGATCCCATTGAACGCGAATAAGGGGAACATTATGCTTCCGGAGTTGTCGAACCTGTCGGTCCAATACGGCTACCGGTCGCTCCTCATAAGACAAAATTGGATTGATCGCAATATCGGTATGCGGAATAACATGATCGGGATCGCACACGTATTTATGCAACATGGATACATGAAAGTCATTATGAACACTGGATAATTCGGGAGGTAAGGCTAACCGATACGCTACTTCGCCTACTCGCTCGAGAACTTTGAACGGGCCTATGAACCGAGGGTGTAATTTCCCTCTCTTGCCAAATCAAATAACTCCGCGAATAGGGCTAACTCTGAGAAAGGCTCGTTCTCCGACTTTGAACTGAATGTCACGTCTATGCTTGTCAGCCGATGATTTATGCCGACTTTGCGCTGTTCTAAGCCTCCGTCTGATAAGCTCGACTTGCTCAGCTGTCTCCTCGATCAATTTCGGACCGAGTACTCGACGTTCGCCAACATCGTCCCAATAAAGGGGCGAGCGGCATTTACGCCCATATAGTGCCTCGAAAGGAGCCATTCGAATCGATGCCTGATAACTATTGTTATAGGCGAACTCAACTAATGGTAAAATCGACTCCCATTTAGAACCTCTGTCTAATATCAACAGTCTGAGCATATCCTCGAGCATCTGAATAATTCTTTATGTCTGACCATCTGTCTCCGGATGGTAAGCCGAATTGAACTGTAACTACGTGCCCATCGCTTCGTGTAAACTCTTCCAGAATCTGCTGGTGAATCTGGAATCTCGATCTAACACAATGTGAGCGGGCACTCCGTGGAGTCGAACGATCCCACGGGTATAAATCTCGACTAACTTCTCCATTGACATGGTCATCGATACAGGTAGGAAATGTGCGACTTTCGTTAATCTGTCCACTACTACCCAAATCGCATCGTGGTGTTCGGGCGACTTGGGCATCCCTGTAACGAAATCCATCGAAATCTCCTCCCACTTCCACTTTGGAATATCAAGTGGTCGTAGAAGGCCTAAGGGGCTCTTATGTTCTGCCTTAACCTGCTGACAGACAAAACACTTTCTTACGAAAATGGCAACATCCTTCTTCATTCCCCTCCACCAGAAAGACCCTTTCAGGTCGTGGTACATCTTGGTGCTACCAGGGTGAGCTAGATAAGGCGCGGTGTGTGCCTCTGTCAAGATTTCCTTCTGCAAGGCCTCGACCTTCGGCACTACAATCCTACCTCGGAACTTTAAGGCGCCATCTGCGCCTCGAAAAAAGCCCTCGACTCCTACGGCGTGAAGCTTGGCCTCAATAGCACGTATAAACTGATCATGAGCCTGCTCCTGCCGGATTCTGTCTCTCAACATAGGCTGAATTTGCATCGAGCTAACACTCCCTGTAATCACTGCAGGAAGCGACTCGATGACTTGGATCTGCATTCGGGCAAAATATTGAATAAGAGAACGCTGCCGAGTAATAGAAGAAGAAAATTCGCCCTTTACCTTTCGGCTCAAGGCATCAGCTACAACATTTGCTTTTCCCCGGATGATACTGAATCGTGCAGTCATAATCTTTAACAAGCTCTAACCAACGTCTCTGACGCATGTCGAGCTCCTTTTGTGTAATAATATACTGCAGACTCTTGTGATCAGTGTAGATCTCACATCGACCACCATAAAGATAATCCCGCCATATCTTAAGTGCGTGTACCACTGCAGCTAACTCCAGGTCGTGGGTAGGATAATTCTGCTCATGGGGCTTCAACTGACGTGAAGCATATGCTACAACCTGGTCGTCTTGCATAAGTACACACCCCAAACCTCACTTCGAAGCATCACTATAGATGGTGAAACTCCGAGAAGGATCGGGAATAGTCAGCACTTGCGCCGTCGTAAGTCTTCTTTTCAGCTCCTGAAAACTCGACTCACAACGATCTGTCCACTCAAACTTCACAGACTTCCTCGTCAACTGGGACAAATGGAGGGCAATCTTCGAGAACCCCTCAATAAATCTGCGATAATAACCTGCAAGGCCGAGGAAACTACGAACCTCGGACGGATTCTTTGGTGCTGACCAGTTCTGTACTGCGACAATTTTGGAAGGATCTACTTCAATACCTGCTTGGGTGATAATGTGGCCAAGAAAAGCCACTCGCTGAAGCCAAAATTCGCATTTAGAAAACTTTGCAAATGATTTTTCACGTCTAAGGGTCTCAAGAACGGCCCTCAGATGCTCTTCATGTTCCTTCTGGCTCTTGGAATAGATAAGGATATCATCAATGAATACAATAACGAACTGATCGAGAAAAGGATGAAATACACAGTTTATCAAGTCCATGAATACAGCCGGGGCATTACTGAGGCCAAACGGCATAACCACAAACTCGAAGTGACCGTATCTCGTACGAAAGGCTGTCTTAGGTATATCTGACTCTTTGATTTTCAGCTGATGGTAGCCTGAACGCAAATCAATCTTAGAAAACACGCACGCACCCCTCAACTGATCAAACAAATCATCGATCCTGGGAAGCGGATATTTATTCTTGATCGTCAATCGGTTAAGATCCCGGTAGTCGATACACATACGCATAGATCCATCCTTTTTCTTGACAAAGAGAACGGGTGCTCCCCAAGGTGAGACGCTCGGTCGAATAAAACCGAGATTCAGCAACTCTTGAATTTGGGTCTTTAACTCTTGTAATTCCTTAGGTGCCATTCGATACGGCGCCTTAGAAACGGGTCCAGCTCCAGGGATAAGATCGATAGAAAATTCCACCTATCGACTGGGTGGACCGCCGGGAAGCTGATCTTGGAACATGTCCACGAACTCACGAACAATAGGAATGTCATGATGTGACCGTGCTTTTGGCTCATCTCCAACGAGGCTCACAAGGTAACCCTGGCAATCTCCCCGTCGAAGAATCCTCCTGGCTTTCGCCATAGAAATAATATGGGGCAGAGTACGAGTCCTGGAGCCGAAATAAGTGATCTGATCATCTCCCGGGAGATAAAGAGTAATCTCCCGGTCATGACATTGGATATCTGCGTGAAAACGTGTTAGCCAATCCATACCGAGTATGAGGTGAAAATCCCTCATCTCGATAACATAAGCATCAGAAGTCAAAATACGGTCGCCGATGGAAAGGCTGAGATCGGTGGCTCTGGCATCTGTCACTATCTTTCGTCCTGAGGCCAAACTAACCTCGAGAGGATCGACAGTGGTAAGAAAATGAACTCCTATAGCTTCGAGACATCGGGGTGATATAAAAGAATGAGTCGCTCAAGTGTCAAATAAGGCATAAACAGGCACATCATTAAGAATGATCATCCCAGACATGGTACCTGGGTGTTGGTCGGCCTCTCCCTGGTCAAGTGCAAAGACGCGGGTTGCTGCCTGCCGCGTTGCTGTTGCTGGGGTCGTGGTGGCTGCTGCCTGGGTGGTTGCTGTTGAGGTTGCTGAGGTGGCTGTCATTGTTGCGGTTGTTGTTGCAGACGCTCGGGACAGTTGGTGCTGATATGGCCTGGCTGGCGACAAAAGAAACTGATGTTCTGGCCCATAAGGCTCCGCGGTGGCGTCGTCCACAAGTGGCACAAGGTGGGGTCTGTTGTTGTCGGGGGCGGTTCTTGCGATCGTCTGGACCTCCTCTGAACATCCTCTTCTTCTGGTTCTTTGATGGTTGGGCAACATTGGGCTGGGCTGGTGGTTGAGCAACTGGCTTGGCTAAGGTCAGATTGGCTTCTCGTCGGATGCTGGCATCTATCTCCTGGGCAATGGCGACTGTGCGGGCGTAGGTCTGGATGCCGTGACCTTCGATGTTATGGCGGACTGCTGGGAGAAGTCCGTCGGTAAAACGAAGAGCTCTCTTCTCCTCTGTACTTACAAGATCAGGTACAAAGGATCCGATTCGGGTAAACTCTCTCTCGTACTCGTCAACAGAACGAGTACCCTGTCGGAGTGCCAAAAACTGGCGCTCCATATCTGCTCGGTAGTACGAGGGATAGTACTTCCCGCGGATCAACCTCTTGAATTGGTCCCATGTACAACCTTCTTTCTCTCCGGGACGCATACTCCAATAGGCATTCCACCAGAGTCTAGCATCACCAGTCAGCTGGATTTGTGCGCATAACATACGATATCGATCAGGACAGTCCATGACCTCGAAAATCATTTCAAGGCCCTGAACCCATTCGTCCACTATACGAGGATCTCCTTGGCCGGAAAACTTTTCTGGATGGTAGTCGCGAAAGTGTGCGACTACTGTGGCCTGAGGGAGCTCCTGATGATCTGGTTCTCTACGAGGCGGCATCTGAGTATTGAAAATGTAACGCCCCAAAACAGTAATAATATTCAAAACGGTTTCACTGCTCGACTAT